AAAGCTTAACTTTGAACAAAGCTAGTGGAGGTGATGGAATTCCAGTTGAGCTATTTCAAATCCTGAAAGATGATGCTGTGAAAGTGCTGCACTCAATATGCCAGCAAATTTGGAAAATTCAGCAGTGGCCACAGGACTGGAAAAGGTCAGTTTTCATCCCAATCCCAAAGAAAGGCAATTCCAAAGAATGCTCAAACTACCACACAATTGCACTCATCTCACATGCTAGTAAAGTAATGCTCAAAATTCCCCAAGCCAGGCTTCAGCAATATGTGAACCGTGAACTTCTAGATGTTCAAGCTGGTTTCAGAAAGGGCAGAGGAACCAGAGATCAAATTGCCAACATCTGCTGGATCATCGAAAAAGCAAGACTTCCAGAAAAATATCTATTTCTGCTTTATTGACTATACCAAAGCCTTTGACTGTGTGGATCACAATAAACTGTGGAAAATTCTGAAAGAGATGGGAATACCAGACCACCTGACCTGCCTCCTGAGAAATCTGTATGCAGATCAGGAAGCAACAGTTAGAACTGGACATGGAACAGCAGACTGGTTCCAAATAGGAAAAGGAGTACGTCAAGACTGTATATTGTCACTGTGCTTATTTAACTTATATGCAGAGTGCATCATGAAAAACGCTGGGCTGGAGGAAGCACAAGCTGGAATCAAGATTGCCCGGAGAAATATCAATAACCTCAGATATGCAGATGACACCACCCTAATGGCAGAAAGTGAAAAACTAAAGAACCTCTTGATAAAAGTGAAAGAAGAGAGTAAAAAAGTTGGCTTAAAGCTCAGCATTCAGAAAACTAAGATCATGCATCTGGTTCCATCACTTCACGGCAAACAGATGGGAAACAGGGGAAACAGTGGCAGACTTTATTTTTCTGGGCTCCAAAATCATTGCAGATGGTGATTGCAGCCATGAAATTAAAAGACACTTTCTTCTCGGAAGGAAAGTTATGACCAACCTAGAGAGCATATTAAAAAGCAGAGACATTACTTTGCCAACAAAGGTCCATCTAGTCAGGGCTACAGTTTTTCCAGTAGTCATGTATGGATGTGAGAGTTGGACTATAAAGAAAGCTGAGCACAGAAGGATTGATGCTTTTGAACTGTGGTACTGGAGAAGACTCTTGAGAGTCCCTTGGATTGCAAGGAGATCCAACCAGTCCATCCTAAAGGAGATCAGTCCTGAGTGTTCATTGGAAGGACTGATGTTGAAGCTGAAACTCCAATATTTTGGCCACCTGATGTGAAGAGCTGACTCACTGGAAAAGACCCTGATGCTGGGAAAGAGTGAAGGCAGAAGGAAAAGGGGACGACAGAGGATGAGCTGGTTGGATGGCATCAACTCAACGGAGATAACTCCGGGAGTTGGTGAGGGACAGGGAGACCCGGCCGGCTGCAGTCCATGGGGTCTTAAAGAGTTGGACACAACTGAACAACTGAATGGAACAGAATATCAAAAACAGAGATGTTATTTAGAAAATCCATGCCACTATAAAAGATAAAGACTGATACATAAATTCATATGCAATCAAACTCAGAAATAAGAACACAAGCATACCCATTAACTCTGAATGGAATCATTTTAGGCTTAAGCATGGAAAGCATCACCTGGGCCTTCAACATTAAAGATAAATTATAAATATAAGTCTAATGTGAATATAGGTATTACTTTTTAGAGCATATATATTATTTAAAAGTAATAAACTTCAATCTGGAAAATGTCTATAAATTCAGGCTTTGCACTAATTTAGGCTTGATTCTTCCTTTATCTTTTTCCAAATACAAGATACCAGCAAAAATGTAAACTTTAAAAACTAACAGGGACTTCCCTGGTGATCAAGTGGTTAAGAATCTGCCTCCCAATGCAGGGGACTCGAGGTCCATCTCTGGTTGGGGAACTAAGATCCCACAGGCAGCAGAACAACTAAGGGCACATTCCTTAACTAGGGGCTTCCCTTGTAGCTCAGCTGGTAAAGAATTTGCCTGCAATGCAGGAGATGCAGGTTCGATTCATGGATTGGGAATATCTCCTGGAAAAGGAAATGGCAACCCACTCCAGTGTTCTTGCTGGGAGAATCCCATGGACAGAGGAGCCTGGCAGGCTACATACAGTCCATGGGGCCACAACTAGAGAGTCAATGGGGTTCTCTATAGTCCATGGGGCCGCAACCCAGAGCCTTACCTAGAGAGCTGCTGAGCTGCAAGGAAGACCCAGTGCAGCCAAAAATAAATTATATATAAAAAAAACTAATAAAAGAATGGTGGTAATTTCAGGAAGGTTTCTTGAAGGATTCCTTTAAATAGCGGCCAGCTTTAGTGCATTTGAAGACTGAATACAGTCCTCTGTCAATTACGTGGCTTATAATAGCACAGGGAGAAAGGAGAAAAGAAAAGTAGGATGGGATAGACCACATGTTTCCCAAAGTGCGAGGCAGAACTAGTCAAATGATACAAAATAGATTTGCTACAATCCTAAAATCAAAAACCAATATTTGTAACAGCACTGTAAAGCAATTATACTCCAATAAAAAAAAGCACACATAAATGTAAATTTCAAAATAAAAAACCAGTATTTGTAAATACAATATAAACACTTGATTATATGTTACCCAAAACACTAAATATAATACATGCTAGTGTTTTAAGAGACCATTAAACACAAAGTCATTTGCCACAAAAGGCAAGAGGTTATTGTTCTAATAAACTTGCTGTTTTCCGAATATCAGAACAGGATGGACATGGGCAGAGACAGTTATAGAGGTCTGCCTCTTTCTTTTCCCTTCATTCACTCTTTACCCACCACAAGACTCAATCTGTCAGGGATATTCCATTTCAACCAGGAGCTAGGCTCTCCTTTGTCTTAACTATGGAGCTAGCTACTGTCAAAAAAAAAAAAAGGGGGGGAGAGGGAATAGGAATTTCCCACAATAAAGGCCATGATTCATAAAGTATGTAATTCCAAAACAAGTATCTGCCAGTGTGTACATATTTCTGCTATAATTGAAACCTGCACAAATCACACATTTGTAGGTTTATATACATATTATTATATATGTATGTGAAATCTGGACCGTAAAGAAGGTTGAGTGGCGAAAGTGAAAGTCACTCAGTCCTATCTGACACTTTGCGACCACATGGACTATACAGTCCATGGAATTCTCCAGGCCAGAATACTGGAGTGGGTAGCCCTTTCCTTCTCCAGGGGATCTTCCCAACCCAGGGATTGAACCATTGCAGGCAGGTCTCCCGCACTGCACGCAGATTCTTTACCAGGGAAGCCTGGTGTGCCAGGCTTCAGGGAAGTTGAAGCCACCAGGGAAGCCCTGAGTGCCAAAGGACTGATGCTTTTGAACTATGGTGTTGGAGAAGACTCTTGAGAGTCCCTTGGACTGCAAGATCAAACCAGTGAATCCTAAAGGAAATCAATCCTGAATATTCATTGGAAGGACTGATGCTGAAGCCCCAATACTTTGGCTACCTGATGTGAAAAGCTGACTCATTAGAAAAGATCCTGCCTTATTGCTGGGAAAGACCAAAGGCAGGAGGAAAAGGGGACAACAAAGGACAAGATGGTTGGATGGCATCACCAACTTAATGGACACGAGTTTGAGCAAGCTCCTGGAGAAGGACAGGGAAGCCTTGTGTGCTGCTGTCCATGGGGTTGCAAAGAGTCAGACACAGCTGAGCAACTGAACAACAAAAACAATATGCATTATTATATATATTCTTGGTAGCACTAGTAGCAAAGAATGGCCTGCCAATGCAGGAGACATAAGAGATGCAGGATCAGTCCCTGGGTCGGGAAGATCCCCTGGAGAAGGGAATGGCAACCCACTCCAGTATTCTTGGCTGGAGACTTCCACGGACAGAGGAGGCCTACATGCCTCAGTCTATACAGTAGCAAAGAGTTGGACACGACTTATTACTCACATATGTATTTTTATCATAGTTAACCTGCTAACCAGTTAATCCATATCTAAATAATCAAGGGTCGACCACAACACTTATTTTAAAATTTGGAGAGAACTTTCACATAATTCAGATTTGACTTTTACAATTCTATAAGAAAAGCAGGTATTATTTCCATCTCACAAATGAGGAAACTCGGGATTAGGGCACAAGAACTAGGACTGCATTCCAAGTCTTCTGCCTCTACATTAACTGTCTGGCACACTGCCACAGAAAATAATGGATACAAATCTTCAAAACCTGATCTCTCAAGTGGAACATTAAGAATTAAATACAGATTAAGAAAACTTTCTAGGAACATACTAATATAAACTGAGCAACACTTATATTTGTAGTAAATGCAAAGTTCAGTAAATTTTATTTGAAATCCTTAATTTGTTCTCATTATCACTAGTGCATGGGTCTTAGTGCAACTGCATATTTTTAGCACTTCTAAAGTTAACTTTAGGATGTTGTTTGCTTTTTTTTTTAAACACATCTCTACAAGTGTAAATTTAATGACACATAAAGGTTGAGGGGCAGAGGGAAATTCTAAATTTGCTTACATGATATCAGTGTAGAAAAAGGGGATAGAGATTTTAGTACTTCCCTTGCAGTCCAGTGGTTAAGACTTCACTTTCCAATGCAGAGGATGAAGGTCCAAGCCCTAGTCAAAGTGCTAAGATCCCACACGCCCCAGGGCCAAAAAAAAAAAAAAAAAACACCCATAAAATAGAGGCAATGTTCTGGCCAATTCAATAAAGACTCTAAAAATGGTCCACATCAAAAAATCTTTTAAACAAATACAGATGTAGGCTGATAAATGTATGACCTTAAGCTTGCATTCTTTTTGATCACTTTGAATAGTTACAGAAAGGTATGTGAAAAGCTTTATCTTTTGCTAGGTTTCTTTATTTAAAAGACTCAGCAGCAAAACCCCAAGTTTTTAGTTCCTAATTAGAAGTATCCTTTATTTCTCTACCATTTTTACCTTTAACATTAGGTTGTAATGTGATTGATATGAACAATAAAACTTACCTCACAATCAGGGCATGTGATTGTGCTGTATTCTTCAGTCATTAATAAGCACAGGTCACAAAAAGAATGTCCACATTGAAGTTCATGGTGGTGACCTACTGATGAAATTCTTCTGTGAATTAAACTTTTCAGTTTGTTAATGTTGAATATTCAGTATAATCAGAGGGGAAAATTAAAAGGGATTCTCTTCTATACAAAAATATATCTATTTAGTTAGAAATGGATGACTTATTAAAATTCAAGAGAAACAATACAAATCAGGAGGGAGAAAAATCAGAAGAAAAACCAGGCAGAGATAATTAATATTGCTTGCATTCATTTAGATAGTTATTTGGTACCTATAATACTTTGAATCTGCCAGCTCTTACAATCATATAAAGAAAAAAATCATATAAAAAATCTGACATACTCCATTTGATCATTATAATTATCACAGCTAAATAGACTGTAGATACTATATTTGACAACCTAGAGATGGATAAACATTTTGGTGATCTGGGATAAATGGTATAACCCAGATTCCAATCTAGTTCTGTTTCCAAGTCTAATGTTCTTTCTACTTGATCATACTTCCCTCTGCTAATTTATACTTTCCATCCTGTGAAGGGGACAGTCAAGGTCAATTTGAGAAACTGGCAAGACCCTTCTCTTTGAACAAAATAATGCCATTTGCAGCAACATGGACGGACTTAGAGATTGTTATACCGAGTGAAGTCAGACACAGAAAGACGAATATTGTATGGTATCAATTACATATGCAATCTAAAAAATGGGGGGGGGGTGGTACAAATGAACTTACTTACAAAACAGAAGTAGAGTCATGGATGTAGAAAGTAAATTTATGGTTACCAGGGGATGGGAAAGGGTAAACTGGGAGAAGGGGACTGACATATACACACTACTATACATAAAATAGATAACAAGAACCTGCTATATAGCACAGGGAACTCTACTCAGTACTTCTGTAATAGTCTATAACGGGAAAAGAACCAAAACAACAAAAAAAAGAGAGTGGATATTATGTAGATGTATTGATATAACTAATTCACTTTACTGTACACCTGAAACAAACACTGTAAATCAGTTACACTCAAATTAAAAAAAAAATCCTCTCTTAATGATCTAAGACATTGGCAAACACAGAAGTCAGATGCCACTACTGTCACACAAACATGACCCACATAAAGGTTATTTTTCACAAACTTAGCATTTATGACGGGAAATACCATCTAATACCAACATTTTAATACTCTAAGTAGAATCTGGTCTATCATAATAAATATATTTGTTATAGCTATTTCATTTTAAGTCATTTTAAAAGATTTTGCAAGAAAAAATGGGAAAAGAAACTAGATAAAATTAGGCTTCATTTACTATAAAATTAGTGTTACTGCTGATTTATATTAAAACAACTGCATTCTTTTGATTAAAAAAAAGAACTTTAGTTTTTAAGCTAATGAAACATCTAAAGGTTGTTTAAAACCAGGGTAAATTTTAAAGCTCTAATTTAAATTCCAGAGATACTAAGGATATCAAAACTGTTTTACCTTTTAAAGATTTCTGATACTGTACAAGTCGAAATAACGTGGGCTGCATTACAGCTTACAAAGCACATTGATAATTCCACATGCATAGGCACCATCTTTCCAATTGAGTACTTCTCAGCATTATAATACAAATGTATGAAAGAACAGGTGATTTTAAAATGTCATGTTCTAAAATTTTATTTTGTAATACTATATCATCAAATAATGGAGATTTTCTACGAAACAGTAGCAATCGAAATTCGGGTAAGAGAACTTGCCTCTCCCCAAGAAAACACAACCAACTTTCTCTACGCTCAGGTCTCCCAAGCAGAGTCCATCCTGGAGCGACTGAGAAAATGGACTTTCACTTTGAAAGTATAAAATATAACAGTTGCACAGAGTGATAAGACGACTCTGGCAGCTCCAAGAGTTTAGTTTTAACAACACACCCTTGCAGAGATATAGCACTCTAAGGCCTGTGAGGTTAGGATCAAATAAACTGAACCTGTTTTCAATTGAGGAGAGTCTCAGTGAGCGGAGCATGGGCACACGTTCTCCCTGGATGGCCCAAGATTGAGCACAAGATGCACAAAACCTAATGGGCTGTCTTCTGAACAAGGCTTTAAGCCAAAAGAGCAAGTCCCCCGCCCCCACCCCTAATATCCGTTCTTAAATATCAGGAACCTTTGGTTACCACAACAAAACTACGCAAGAAAAAGAAGTTTCGTTGCTTCTTCACCACAGAATGACGGTCAAATCTCACATTACCCCTTTCTTGAACCTGCGAACCCATCAGTGGGGCAGTTAGTGCGCAGCAGGGTGGAAAGCCGCTCTCCGGGCCTTGGCGTCAGGACCTCAAAAGCGGGCTGCGCGCTCAAGGCCTGGGCTGCCCCGTGCTCCCTCGCCGTTGCAGCCACTCCCTACTCTGCCTGTTCCTCAGCGCCCGTGACGGCAGGCGGACTGACCCCCAGCCTCTCACCCAGAGCTCTGGGCGCCCTTCTTCCACACCGGCTACACAGGGCCTCGGTGGCTCCCCGGGCCCGGCCGTGCGTCTCCACCTGCCCGCAGGACACGGGATGCCTAACCCTCAACGCCTCAGCCGCCATCTTCGCGCCTCTAATCCCAGGCCCGTGCCGCGTGCCGACCCGGTATCCTTTGCGGCAGCGACCTATCGCCGGAGGCGGTGGCTCCAGGAGGCCAATCGGCAGCGAGGAAGCTCCAGCCCACCCATCCCCCGCCCCAGACCCTCCTAGCAGGAGGCTGTTTACTGTTTTACTCCGGCTTCTTAGAGCAGACTGCGCGTGGTCTTCAGGGACCGTTTTGTGGTCTGACCTTTGTCTAAAGCTCAGCGCCTTATCACTCTCAGTGCATATAAGTCGGATTTCAGGCATTTCTACTTACTTTGCTTTTGACCTTGCAGGTGGCAATGTCATCCCCCTTCCCTAGTGGATCATAGTGGCTTTAGTGGAGAAGCCAGTCTAGCTACCCACCCGTGAGGAGATTTGGTTAACAGTTTCAAACCAAGGTGTGGTCATTATTACTAACAATTGTTGACCCTACTGGTATTTATTTAAGTGTTGAGAACGTTTAGGGATACGAAGAATTTATAAACTAACAGGTTCCTGCTTGAGTGATATGTCATCCTCTACCTAAACGGGTAACTTCCACTAAAGCAGTTTGTATTAAATGGCAGAGGAGACTTAGAGAAAATAAGAATTGTATGCGTTGTGTGAAAAGCCTTTGTAGAGAATATAAGGTTTGCACTAGATTTTAAAACCTGAGTGAACCTTACAGAGGTAAACAGAGGAAACGAGGCTTTCCAGGGAGAAAGAACTGCAAAAGAAAGGGATTATAGGTGAGTAGATGCTGTTGCCTATTCGGTATTTAACTTATAGACCATTTGCCTAGGTTAGTTAATACTGCTTTAAGTGAGCTTTTTGGAGAATTAAGTTGGAATCGAATTTTAGAGAGTCTTGAATGTTGGGTAAGGACTTACCCTTTGAACAGTCTAGTCCTGGAGAAATTGTGTGAGCAAGAAATGAGGTGATCTGGTAGCAATTTGGCAAGTATCGGTGTATTGTGGAGGAAGCATGTGGAGATGGCTGGGTGCCTTCAGCTACTAAGAGTAAAACCAGCATGTATTCTTCATTTTATTTTCCCCTCTATGTGTTTTGTTTTGGAAATAGAAGTATTCTGTTCAAAGCTCATCCCTGGTTAACATCCAAAATATGCAAACAGCTAATACACCTCAATATCAAAAAAGCAAAACTGAATTCAAAAAGGATACCCTGAAGAAATGTCTTTAATGAGAGTATCTTAATGGTGAATGCTCTCAGCTTTTATTTGGATGAAAATATTTTCATCTTCATCCTTGAATGAGCATTTAATAACATAATATTCTAAATTGACAGTTATTTTTTCTCAGACTTTGGAGAGAGCATCATACTAATTTCTCTCCGTCCTTGAAAATCCCAACCCTTAGCACCTCTGCTATGGCCTCCCTGGATGGCAGTTTATTTAGTATTTCCTGCCCCACCATTTCCACCTCTGAGGGGATGCCACATTGCTCACCCTCAATGTTCCTTAAACACTGTAGCCTTGTGCCCTGTCCAAGCAGGTGCTTCATTTGTCAAGAAGTGAAAGCAAGAGGGAGAAATCCCGTGTTGCAAATATAAAATGTAGGGCAAAACACCAACTAATAAATTATAGTGCTTCCAGGCTTCAGTTCAGTTCAGTTCAGTCACTCAGTCATGTCCGACTACTTGCGACCCCATGAACCGCAGCACGCCAGGCCTCCCTGTTCATCACCAACTCCCGGAGTTTACCCAAACCCATGTCCATTGAGTCAGTGATGCCATCCAACCATCTCATCCTCTCTCGTCCCCTTCTCCTTCTGCCTTCACTCTTTCCCAGCATCAGGGTCTTTTCCAGTGAGTCAGCTCTTCACTTCAGGTGGCCAAATTATTGGAGTTTCAGCTTCAACATCAGTCCATCCAATGAACACCCAGGACTGATCTCCTTTAGGATGGACTAGATGGAACTCCTTGCAGTCTAAGGGACTCTCAAGAGTCTTCTCCAGTACCACAGTTCAAAAGCATCACGGTGCTCAGCATTCTTTATAGTCCAACTCTCGCATACATACATGACCACTGAAAAACCATAGCCTTGACTAGATGGACCTTTGTTGGCAAAGTAATGTGTCTGCTTTTTAATATGCTCTCTAGGTTGGTCATAACTTTCCTTCTGAGAAGAAAGTGTCTTTTAATTTCATGGCTGCAATCACCATCTGCAATGATTTTGGAGCCCAGAAAAATAAAGTCTGCCACTATTTCCACTGTTTCCCATCTGTTTGCCGTGAAGTGATGGAACCAGATGCCATGATCTTAGTTTTCTGAATGCTGAGCTTTAAGCCAACTTTTTTACTCTTCCTTCACTTTCATCAAGAGGCTCTTTAGTTCTTCACTTTCTGCCATTAGGGTGGTGTCATCTGCATATCTGAGGTTATTGATATTTCTCCTGGCAATCTTGATTCCAGCTTGTGCTTCCTCCAGCCCAGCATTTCTCATGATGTACTCTGCATATAAGTTAAATAAGCACAGTGACAATATACAGTCTTGACGTACTCCTTTTCCTATTTGGAACCAGTCTGTTGTTCCATGTCCAGTTCTAACTGTTGCTTCCTGATCTGCATACAGATTTCTCAGGAGGCAGGTCAGGTGGTCTGGTATTCTCATCTCTTTCAGAATTTTCCACAGTTCATTGTGATCCACACAGTCAAAGGCTTTGGTATAGTCAATAAAACAGCAATAGATGTTTTTCTGGAACTCTTGCTTTTTCGATGATCCAGCAGATGTTGGCAATTTGATCTCTGGTTCCTCTGCCTTTTCTAAAACCAGTTTGAACATCTGGAAGTTCACAGTTCATGTATTGCTGAAGCCTGGCTTGGATGATTTTGAGCATTACTTTACTAGCATGTGAGATGAGTGCAATTGTGAGGTAGTTTGAGCATTCTTTGGAATTGCCTTTCTTTGGGATTGGAATGAAAACCTTTCCCAGTCCTGTGGCCACTGCTGAATTTTCCAAATTTGCTGGCATATTGAGTGCAGCACTTTCACAGCATCATCTTTCAGGATTTGAAATAGCTCAACTGGAATTCCATCACCTCCACTAACTTTGTTCGTAGTGATGCTTCCTAAGGCCCACTTGACTTCACATTGCAAGATGTCTGGCTCTAGGTGAGTGATCACACCATCGTGATTATCTGGGTCGTGAAGATCTTTTTTGTACAGTTCTGTGTATTCTTGCCACCTCTTCTTAACATCTTCTGCTCCTGTTAGGTCCCTACTGTTTCTGTCCTTTAGTGAGCCCATCTTTGCATAAAGTGTTCACTTGGTATCTCTAATTTTCTTGAAGAGATCTCTAGTCTTTCCCATTCTATTGTTTTCCTCTATTTTTTTCCACTGATCACTGAGGAAGGCTTTCTTATCTCTCCTTGCTATTCTTTGGAACTCTGCATTCAAATGGGAATATCTTTCCTTTTCTCCTTTGCTTTTCGCTTCCCTTCTTTTCACAGCTATTTGTAAGGTCTCCTCAGACAGCCATTTTGCTTTTTTTGCAATTCCTTTTCTTGGGGATGGTCTTGATTCCTGTCTCCTGTACAATGCCATGAACCTCTGTGACAAAATGCTTTACTTCACAATACCTCAATTTATCTTCACAAGTCTGTAGAAGGGAGTTTCTGTCCCTTTAAAATGAATCAGGCTTTTGCCTTAAATTTCCATTAAACTTTATCTTAGAACCTCTGGACCAAGGAGATAACATCCCCTGAGTTGGGTTGTGGTATGTCAGATGGAGGGCTGGAACCTAGGAATGGCAACAGAGGAGAGGCAGCCCGCCCCGAGATCTGGCCTGAAGCAGAAACAGTGGCACTGACAAAGTACAGAACAAAGCTGGCCTTGGAGGTCATGTGAGCGCTGGATAGTGGAGCCCGATCCCAAATGGCAGCTAGAGCAGGCAGTTATGTAACTGTGCCAAGGCCTGGTGCCCCTGAAAGGAGCAAATGTGTTTTTTCCTTCTTTTCAGTGTGAAACGATAATTTTCAAAGAAAAGCTAAAATCATGGCTCTCCTCTAGGTATAAAATGAACAAATGTTAAATTTATTCTGCTCATATTTGGGTGTGGGAACTGGGCAGTTAGAACCGGTTCAAGGGAGCAGAGATGCACAGGTTTATCTGGAGTCAAGGATGCCAGAGTATTGTGTAAATGCAGCAAAACTGGCTTTTCCAGAGGAAGGAGTGTTGTTCCTCATGTTTGCATATCACAAACACGGACTATTCTGAGTTGTACTCAGTTCTGCATAAGCTTAGATCTATAAAACCCACCTGAAGGGTGTGCTCAGCGCCGTGTGCAGATTTCCATCCAAGCACAGACTCCCCTGACTTGACCTCACAGATTCTAAAGTTGACCTGCTTAGTGGAGGGAAACTGACAGCACTAGGGGCTTCCCTGATGGCTCAGATGGTAAGGAATCTACCTGCAATGTGGGAGATGTAGGTTCAATCCCTGGGTTGGGAAAGTCCTCTGGAGGAGGGCATGGCAACCCACTCCAGTATTCTTGTCTGGAGAATCCCATGGACAGGGAGCCTGGTGGGCTACAGTCCATGGGATCGCAAAGAGAGGAGATGACTGAGTGACTAAGCACATAGCCTCTATGTTCTAGACGATCCTACAGGGTTAACACTACAAACTGATGGGTGGTCATAGTATTAATGAGACAGTGTTTCTAGGAGGTCATCACATCAACCAGGACATAATAGGAGTTGGTAACTACCAGCTGCTGATACTGTCATGTTAGGAGACATAAGTCCACTGGGGAAGTGATGACTGCAGAATGAATGCGGAGATCTGACAGTCTTTGTAAACACAGAGTCAGGAACAACCAGCATATGAGCACTTGCTCTATTTTAAAAGTCTCCTGGGAAGGTGTCTCCTTCTTCATCTCCATAATAATGTCAGTTAGGGAAGTTGGTGGCCTTTCTAGGGCCCTGATTTGAGCACTCCTGATCCACATCATCAGCAGGTAACCTCCCTTACAACATTCCTCTTTGGAAGCTAAAGGCACACACACACACAGACACACACTAAAGGCACACACACACACACACACACACACACAGAGCTTCACACTTGGGCCTCACCCCTGTCACCACCCTGCCCAGTCTATCATTGCTTCCCTCGCCTCTCAACTCACCTTGTGTCCATTCTTGCCTGGGTATCCTCCTACCCTCCTCAGAGAGCCAAACTGATCTGAACAAGTGAACTGGAGCAAGTTTCCGCCTTTGCTAATAATCTTCAACAGCCTGGTGTTGTGTTTGTAATGAAGCCGAGCCTGCTTCCATGGCTTGAGACCCTATAAGGTCATATTGTTGCCCGTTTCAACAGCTGCCTGATGAACCAGTCTTCCTGTTCTTGCTACATGACACTATCCCTTCCTCCTGGACTTCTCCTCTCTGTGCTTATTCACCTCAGAAAGGACTTTCCTGACCACCTCTTTAAAGGGGTCTCACCCACCACCAGGAAGATCCCCTGGAGGAGGGCATGGCAACCCACTCCAATATTCTTGCTTGGAAAATCCCATCGAAGAGGAGCCTGGTAGGCTACAATCCATAGGGTCACAAAAAGTTGGACATGACTTAGTGGCCAAACAACATAGTAGACAGATCTTTCATACCCTATTGACAGCCAAGACATTCACTTTATTATTGCTGGCAGGAGTATAAATTGATATAGCTTATATGAAAATAAATTTATCAAGAGCCTTAAAAATGCTCTTAATGCCTCAATTCCATTTTGATGAATCTATTATAAAATAATGAGATGCTGTATAAGATTTAGTGACAAGATGAAACCTTAAAACAAAAATGATTACCAGTAGGAAATAGATGAGCCATTGCACAGAGGGGATACAGTTAAAACACTCTCAGTATGGAATAATGTATAGTCATTGGACTCATATCCTCAATGTTAACTAACAGAGCAGAATGGAAAGCTTTATATTTCAATTCTTCCTAGAAATAAGTATATGTTTAGAAAAAAAAAAGACTTGATGGACATGAGTTTGAGCAAGCTCTGGGAGTTGTGATGGGACAGGGAAGCCTGGCTTGCTGAAGTCCATGGGGTTGCAAAGAGCTGGACACAACTGAGCAACTGAACTGAACTGAAAGAAATAACTACTCTTTTGTTTAGTTATAGAACTTGGTAGTTAGATTCTCGTTGGTTTTAATTTTTACTCTTGGATATTCCAAATTTTCTAAAATGAATTACAATGTCAGGACAAAACATTGTTTTAAAAAATACTCTATAAATCCAGCCTTATCTCTATATCTGAGTTACTCTGCCACATCAATCAGATTTAAATTAACTGTTACTTCCTCTAAAAAGTATCCAGGCCTTGGTGGGTCAATGAAGCCGTTCCTCCAAAACAACAACACAAAGCAAAACCCTCTGAGGTTTTATTGCTTCTTTTCTGTTTACAACTCAATAAAGTGGGTTGATACACCAGTTTCATTTCTGTGATTCTTTAAATTTTTTATTCACTCATTTCACAAATATGAGTGTCAATTTTTTACAAAGATAGGTATGTACAATACTAAAGTTATTCCAGACAGGGTTCCTGCTGTGAAGAGATTTCTACTTCAAACTGAACTCCTCTCAAGCTTAATCCAACTCCACAATAAACCTCTTGCGTCTTTGTGCTCTATCTGCAGTGTCCTTCACTGGCTCTGGCAGGACAACAAGCTGCCAGCCATCACAGGAGGGGACCCTCAGACAGCCTGGCAGGAAGAAGAGTGAGGACAAATGGTTCATAGTTGAAGTTTTGGGACCATCACTGCCCTGTCAGGACTGGAATTAGAAAGCTGTCATGACACTGCCTGGAAAGGGTTCCAGGTCACTGAACCACTGACATCATCAGAGTAGTCCAGGGATAATCGTGTGATAATTGTGGCTGAACACAGAGATCAAAACCCTTGAGATTAGACTTGTTATTTTAACTTAAATACACACACACAATGACAGAGTGCATTATCTATTTACATGAAGTTACAATGACGGTTCTGAGAACATAGCAGTGACTTGTGGCTCTAAGACTCCCTTTGCTTGCTCTAGAGACACAACTCAGCACCATCAGCAGCAGGATGTCCTTGTTTGTTCTGTCCTCCTTAATGACGGAGGAGAGGTAATGGGGCAGCCCACTGAGTACAAAAAGTTTACCAAGTGTCATTCCTGTTAAATGAGTGTGTGCTGGGTATCAGCTGATGATGGAAGGACTATGAAAATGGCTTCCTCTCTTGCTCTGCCACTGGACCCTCCAAAGAAATTCTGGCTTAAATGTGTGCCATATCAGAGAGAGGGCAGAACAGGGATGTTGTGAGGGAAGAGTTCAGACCTTCCTTGGAAAAATAAAAGGACTAAAGTAAAAAGAAAAAAAAGTTGAAATTACATCTCATTTTTTTTTCTGTCCTAGGCTATGCATTTTGTTGCTGTTGTTGTTTAGTCTCTTAAGTTGTATCTGACTCTTTGTGACCCCACAGACTGTAGCCCACCAGGCTCCTCTGTCTGTGGGATTCTCCAGGCAAGAATACTAGAGTGGGCTGTCATTTCCTTCTCTAGGGGATCTTCCCAAGCCAGGGATCAAACCCATGTCTCCCACATTGGCAGGTGGATTCTTTACCATCTGAGCCACCAGGGAAGCCCTGCTTTGCATTTTAGACAAATTAATTAGAACACCACTCTCAGGTCTTGTTTTATAAAAGATCTTTTACTTAAAAATGAGGCCTCTCTGGGATACTAATATGGGTGTAGTCACATATGTTACACACAAACAAACTTACAGCATGAAACAAAAAACTGGTGTTGCAGAGTGCTATGAACTGTCTAATAAAGAATAAATATTATGTATTAAACCACAAGGTTCCTCCACTGAGGTTCAATCCTGGTAAATGAAAACCTCTTTGAGTCAGGAGAGCACTTGGAGCTCCATTCTGGAACTGGTGGTGGGTGGAGGGTAGCATGGAGGAGGGAGGGCAGTGAAGGACTGTGAGGAGCTGACAAGTGGGATGAGGACTCTTAAGGATGTCTCAGGGTCAAACTGAGGTCTTCTAAGTTACTGTGATGTAAACCTGCTGTCACTTCACCCTTTTGCAAACCTCTAGCTGAACTAGCCTTTTCTGAGCAACGTGACTGTGAAATAATGAATTCTCTGGGAATTCACAGGAAGGGAGGGTGCTGGATTTTTAATAGAGTGTGGAATGGAGTTGGGAGCAGTGCTATCTAGAGCTTAAGGGGCAGGGAGACCCTTAATCCAGCAGATGTCTGGATTACCTGACATTGTTTAACATGAATGAGCTCTACAGACATTTAAACATGTTATTCTTCCCTATACCATTACCTTGAAATTCATGTATTTTTAAATAAGGACATTGATATATAAATTAAAATCACATATAAACACTGGAATCTCTGTTTTAAATTACAAAATATTAGTGAGTGTCTTTCCTACAGTTCTGTCTTTTCTTGAACACATTCCGACGACATCCCCATGGCAGCAGTCGCCCAGCTGGCACCAGAAGGTGAAGAACATCGCCATGTGCAGCTGCCGGAGCTTGGGAAGCAGGTGTCTTAATAATACATGTTCTTATCCCACCAGCCTAAAGAAGGAGGAAGCAGTAAGTGAGAAACAGAGGAAGGTCTGCTGGAGCAGATCAAGAGCCCCCAAAGCCCCCATACATTAGTACTCACTTCCAGGGAAGAGTCTGATGAAAAGCTTCCGCACCTCATCATACACCCAAATCAGAACTGCGTGTGGCACAGCCACAAACCAGTACTGAGGCCTGGGAGGAGAGAGGGGATGGTGTGAGACCCACACACCCACCCTTAAGTGGCTGAGTGCCTCATTCATTCTCTTTTCTAGACTGGACAGAGCAACCCCACTGGGTCACAAAGCGTAGAACCCGAGGGTTTCTTATTTAACTGGACTATGACTGCTAGAAACAGTGATTGCCTGAGAAGGGATCTATTGGATGAAGGTAGAGATGGGATGGTGAGGGATGGAAAACCCACCTCCTCTTCTGAAAAAACTAGCAGGTCAAAGCCTCACACTGATTAAAAGAAAACAACAACAACAGTTTCACTTTCTCTCTTTGGAAAGACTTGAGGGGAAAGACTTTTTAGGCTGTGACAACCAGATTGGGGCCGGTTCCTCCCCGTGGTTGCAGGGAACCTCACCGGATCATTGTAAAATTCAGGGCCTGGATGCTTCCGAGGCCATAGGAGAGGATTAGTGCGATGATAATCTGTGAGGCAATCCCCACCCAGACGACTTTATTTCTGTAAGACACAAAAGTAAACAAATTCTGAACTCCCAGCCCCAGGCCCACATGCCCACATGCAGTTATCTGGACAGCAAAGGGCCAGGCTAAACCCCCAGGGCGGCTGCACCAGTACCTGAAGAGACCTTGCTGGAAGATGGAATTCCTCCGGGTTTTCCTGATGATCAGATCTGCTATTTGCTGAATCATGATGCTAACAAAGAATGCGGTGTAGCCCGTCCATTCTAGGTATTTCCTCTGGTACCTTGTCTGTCAATGGCCAGAGAGGAGAAGACCATGACGCCCCAGATGGACACCTCAGGGAGGTGTTGGTGCCTTTCTACGAGCCTCGACTCTCTTTCCCCTCCCCATGATTGAGAGAGGGTCACTTCCTGTGTTTGGAAAGAAACCTTTCTTCCTTTCACTTGGCGAGCAGGAGAACTGCTAACTTAATGGACTTGGCCCAGCTGTGGTGCTGCTGGCTGCTCCTCCTCTACACCTGTGTGCTAATCATTGAATCGTGTCGGGCTGTGCGATGCCACGGACTATAGCCCACCCGGCTTCTCTGCCTATGGGGTTTACCAGGTAAGAATACTGGAGTGGGTTGCTGTTCCCTTTTCCAGGGAATTTTCTGAAACCAAGGATTAAACCCAGGTCTCCTGCATTGCAAGCAGATTCTTTACCATCTGAGCCACCAGGGACGCAAGCTAATGTAAACAGGTGAGCTCTAGACCTCCAACTTGAGAGATGAGCCGAGCCTGGCAGAGGCAAGCTGCTGTGACCACAGGGCCCTCAGGCCCTGTTAACCAAGAAAACCATCACCTCCCCGTCCCCTTACAGCCATCCAGGGAGGACGCTGCCAGCAACCTGGCCCTTACCCATTCCTGTCCGTAGCTATCTTCCAGGTCATTCACATTGTCGTTCTCCCACTCCACCCGCAGGTTGAGGATAGTGCTGGGTAGAAAGCCGTGCTGCGCGTACACGGTGAAATACGTAACGAAGGCCCCCAGGGCCTGCATGAGGCCTAGAAGAACAGGAGAGGTTCTGTACTGACCCCAGAAGTGCCCTGCCTCACTCTCCTCTGGGCTCCCCCCACAGCCCACCCTGACCCACAGGGGACGGTGGGTCTCTGGGCAGTCCCTCCTCGCACCGATGTGCAGGTAGGAGTACAGGGCAAGTGGCGCATTCACCAGCCTGTCCTTCTTCTTGTGGCGAGGCTTCCTGTTCATAATGTCACTTTCGGCTTTCTCGTAAGCCAGGGCAATGGAGGGAATCTAGAGGGAGAGAGTAGCATGAGGCCCGACCCTGAAATACTAGATGGAAGGAAACAGTGGCAGCACAGCCAGGGGCCCGATGCGGGGGGCTGGGGGTGGTGGCAGTGGTGGTGGCGGCGGCAGTGGTGGTGGTGGTATGGAACTGGTCCATCCAAGGAGCAGACAACACGGTGTGCTGTCTGCAGAGAAGACAATCCACCTGTGTCTGATCGTCTGATCATCACCCTGTATTGCCATCTCTAGATGATCTAGTTATAAAGCACTTTCCCTTCCCACCACTGAGAAGTGGTTGTCTCCTAGGTCCTCCCCCAGAGGGCAGAGAACCCAAATTTCTCACAAGTTCCCTAGTGAAACCTGGAAGAACCACAGCAGTGGAGATAAGAAGAGCAAGCTTGCTGCAGGCTCTGGGGCTTCAGCTCCCCTCTAAGGTAGAGATGCCCCAATATCCCTGGACCATGGAGGTTGCCCAGATGTCATGTGAAATGGGGGGTAGGCAGTGACCTGAAGAGCTGTGGGTTTTGTTTGCTCCCCGAAGCCTCTGTAAGCTAGAGACATGGGAGTGACTGTCACAAAGCTTCCTAAGGGGATTCGCTCTAGCAGAGGGGAGGTTTTACGTGACATTACTGTAGGTCTGCGTGAGGCTTCACAATGTTATTAATGGCTGCTTCTTACTGTGTTTGGTAAGAGGCTTCCAGGTCACAGATTCTTTTACTTAACAAAGGGTGGCTGTGAGTTATCACTTTGGCCACTAGGCCCCAAGCAGTACAGTGACTATTTTGGTGACAGCTTTTAAAAAAAAAAGAGGGGGAGGCACATTAGCTGAAACTGACCAATGGCCTGGTTTTTTTTGAAAGGTGAAGAACTCATGTGTTGAAAAGTTCTTCTATGGAGTGAAGTGGTTTTGATTTTCAAACACTTTATAGATCTCTCTGGTCCTGTGCTTTGAAGTGTGGTTGGTGGACCAGCAGACTTGGCATCACTTAAGAGCTTGTCAGAAACCATCACGTTGAGGTCTGAGAAGCACTGATTAATCTATCTCCTGCCCTTGAAGGTAATGACACTGAGGTTTCCCTCACCTGGGGAAGTCATCAGACCCTGTTCCCTTTCTGGCTACTTACTATGTCTGTGCCCAAGTCGATGAACAAGATAGTAATGGTGCCAATGGGCAGGGGAAGCCCAGCAATGATGTAGATGAGAAAGGGGCACAGCTCAGCGATGTTCTTGGTCAGCGTGTACGCGATTGTCTTCTTTAGGTTGTCAAAGATCAGGCGACCTAGGCAGAAGACATTTCTCCCCATAGGACTCACTCCTCATTTCATGGGTGGCCCCAGCCCTTGCTAAGACCACTCAAAACCCCACTCACCTTCCTCCACCCCTGTGACGATGGACGCGAAGTTGTCGTCCAACAAGACCATGTCAGCTGCATTTCTGGCTGCATCAGAACCTGCTATTCCCATGGCGATCCCGATGTCTGCCTTCTTCAGAGCTGGGGAGTCATTAACTCCATCCCCGGTCACAGCAACCACAGCATCCTGCAGGGATGGCGGAAGGTTGTGGGAGGGGGATGGAAGGGGTTAGTGAGCAGCCTGGAGGTCCGCTGCACCAAAACAAAGGCCCGTTTTGGGTTAGAGGAAAAAGATTAAGATGGTAAGAACAGAGGTAAGAACAAGCTCCAAATAAGATGTGTTTGAATGATCACAACCATATGAATCCAAATTGTAAAGGTAGTCCCCTGTGCAGCAAGCAGGAGGGAGGGCCCCTGAGTGGACAGGGTCAGCCCCGACAGGTGGAGATGTGGGGTGGTGACCTCACCAGAACCCTAAGGGGGGCCAAAGCTCAGTGCTGCTTCTCCCCACAGAATGATGACAGACCTAGAAGCTTCCCCGGGTGCTGCGTTCACCCACCTGCCTCTGACAGCCCTCCACAATGATTAGCTTCTGCTGGGGGGACGTCCGGGCAAAGACGATCTCCGAGTGGTTGGCTAAGATCTCATCTAGCTGTTCCGGGCTCATGTCCTTCAGCTCCATGCCGGTCACCACAGCAGCCTTAGCATCCCTAGACGGGCAGGAGGAACTGGGTGAGGGTATAGGTGGAAGCTGAGGTTAAAACACTATTCTGGGCAGGAGGTGGGGTGAACCTCTTTGGCTTTATCTGGAACCCCAAGTCCTGACTCTTAAGCATCTGGTGGGATGATGGCGTGTGTGGGTCTCTTGTCAAGACAGTGAACTAAGGCGGACAGGCATTTCCTTGTGTCACATGACAGTAGGAACAAGTCAAGTAGCCATTTCTTACAAGAATGGGTGAGAGGTGGCACTTCCCAGGGCAAAACTTTACTCAAAAGAGAAGGAGGTAAAAAACTGCCTATTGGTACATTTTGAATCCAAGAATCCAGCTTTTGCCTGAACACATGGGTGACAGCTCTTTGCTGTTTATTTCAGACTCACAGTGTCTACTATGCAACCAGCTATGTGGAGAGGGAAGTTAACTGAGGTCCTCTTGAGGAAAGCTTTTATCTGCTGCCTGTAAAAGTGAGGTTCTAGGAACTACTGAGACTGCAGACCTGACCATGCTGTCCCCTGGAGCACTGTCCAAAGGAACATCAAGCAGAGCCCAGATCCCCACTTGGTATGCAGGACTGGGGGCAACCTGTGCCATGTGGCCCCTCTGACTCTCCCCCACAGCACCCACGCTCTCAGTTCCAAGTCCCCAGCTCTCAGTTCTGAATCCCCAACTCTGTGCAAAGCTCTCACAGATCCTACTACCTTTGCCAGGGGTGGGGGCCTCTAGCTTTCCCTTCCCTTGGTGAACATTTCAGCCTTCAAATCTCAGCTTAAATGTTCTTAAGCACAAAATACCGCATGTTTTTTTGTTTACCTTTTTAAAGTTTTGAGGTCTTTTTAGGTCTGCTTTTTTTTTTTCTATTGGTGCTAAATATTGAAATTCTAGCACTTGACTCAAACTACAGGTTTTCCTATATTCTGGTTAAAAAAAAAGGTGGTGGCGGGGGGGAAGAAGCAAGAAGGAAAGGCTTGTTTCCCTTCCTCCCGGAGCTACAAAAACAGTTTTTCCCTGATCATGAAGCTGCAGTTGATAAAGTGGACAATTGAAAACATTCACAAAGTAACCACCCCTCTCTCCTGTGTGGTGACTTGTAGGAAAGAGTAAAATCCTACTGTTTCAAAAAACAAAACAAGTACAACCTCTGAAGCTGTTTTCATAGATGGACGTTATCACCGATGTTATCTACACAAAAGAGCAGTGGGGCTCCAGACACAAATGTTGTGCCCAGAGGCTATTTACCTGTTTGGTGTCCTAACTGGTAATTTGTTGCCCTGGCAGTCACTTATCACCTGTCAGCTCTGTGTTCCTAACAGGTATAACTGTTTGGGTAAACTAGGAGATGTTCTTGGGTCTTTTCCCCCCATATGCATCAAAGTATAATAAAGCAATGACATTTATTTTCCAACTAAGACTTTGGAGACTTTGACTGATTTAAATGATCAACAGTCAGGTTCCCATCACCAGCACCTCTGTGCCTGTGTTTATTTCACTGAGTTTGTTGTTGTTTATTGCTGTTTGGTTGCTAAGCTGTGTCCAACTCTTTTGTGATCCCAGGGACTGCAGCCTGCCAGGCTCCTCTGTACATGGAATTCTTCAGGCAAGAATACTGGAGTGGATTGCCATTTCCTCCTCCAGGGGATCTTCCAGACCCAGGAATGGAACCCATGTTTCCTGTGTCTGCTGCAATGGCAGGTGAGTTCTTTACCAGTGGACACCAGAGAAGCCCTCCATTCTATTTATGACCAAATAAAAAGTAAAAAGAAGTATGTTTCCATAGCAACACATTATGAAGCCTAAATACTAAATATGGAATAAATACTCAAGAAGCAGACTAGGGGCTCAGAGAGCACAAAAGATTCTCATTGTTCCTGATTATAAACTGGACCAATGGCAGGTAATTTCCCATAAAGTTTCTGCTTCAGTTTCCTCACGCTAAATTCAGCACTGAAGTTTCCAGATCTACTTCACTGGGCTGAAATACAGGTAATTTTCATGGTCTCAATACAGTGGCTGGCACATATCAGGTGCTTGATAAAATTTTGAGTAATGACTGGATATAGAAATTACAGAGTACGCTTTATCCCCTCTGCAGTCCCAGCCTCAGCCCACTCCTGGGCATACACACTGAAGAAACAAGAACTGAAAGAGACATGTGTACCCCAATGTTCATCGCAGCACTGTTTATAATAGCCAGGACATGGAAGCAACCTAGATGCCCATCAGCAGATGAATGGATGAGGAAGCTGTGGTACATATACACAATGGAATATTACTCAGCCATTAAAAAGAATACACTTGAATCAGTTCTAATGAGATGGATGAAACTGGAGCTCATTATACAGAGTGAAGTAAGCCAGAAAGATAAACACCAATACAGTATACTAACACATATATATAGAATTTAGAAAGATGGTAACGATAACCCTATATGCAGGACAGAAAAAGAGACATAGATGTATAGAACAGACTTTTGGACTCTATGGGAGAAGGCGAGGGTGGGATGATCTGAGAGAACAGCATCGAAATATGTATATTATCAAGTGTGAAACAGATCGCCAGCCCAGGTTGGATGCATGAGACAAGTGCTCAGGACTGGTGCACTGGGAAGACCCAGAGGGATGGGATGGGGAGGGAGGTGGGAGGGGGGTTCAGGGTGAGTAACACATGTAAATCCATGGCTGATTCTTGTCAATGTATGGCCAAAACTACTACAATATTGTAAAGTAATTAGCCTCCAACTAATAAAAATAAATGAAAAAAAATAAATTAAAAAAAAATTACAGAGTAAACCAGCCAGAAATTATAGAGTAAACCAGCAGATCATATTTGGCAAAAAGGGGTTTGCTCCAGACAACTCTTTAGAGGCAGTAGGGCCTGTGATAAAGGCCTGAGTTCTGTGTGGGTTCTGAACTCACTGCTTGTTAACTTGCTCCACAGGAAGGTTGAGGCGTTTGGCAATGTCTTCCACTGTCTCACTGTTGGCGGAAATGATACCGACGCTCTTGGCAATAGCTTTGGCTGTGATTGGATGATCGCCTGTAACCATGATAACCTAGAACACAGGCAAGGAGACAGGCATGTGGGTGGTGAGGGACTCCGCTGCTCAGGCGAGTGGGGATAACTTGGTTTTGCCCACTCCACCATGGCGAGGGGGCACTGTGGCTTGCAGTCCTTGATCTTTAGGTCAGAGTATCACCTGTCTTAGAAGGACACATGGATCCCACTGGATCTACCCTTGTTTCTAAACCTTACATTTCCTCCTCTGACACTAGAGGAAGTCCTTCCCTTTGGTATAACTTTGTGAGTGGGCTGACAGATGTCTCCTTCAGCATCTTCATGATGCTCCACAGCCTTGGAATTAACACAGTAATGGAATTCAAATTTTGACATATCATGAGGGAGAAGGAGTTTGGGAGCTGGACCTTGAGATTAAGTAGCAAAACCTTTTATTGTCTGTTGTGGTCTAGGATGACATGTGGTTGCTTCATGGCTTTCTGTTCATTGCAATTGCACTTGTGGTTTATTCCACACAGACACAGTGACTATGCTTTTATGGGACAGTTACTGAAATCTTAGTACAGTGAAAGTAGAGACTTAAAAAAAAGGGGAATTATGACATTTAGGGGAAGAGACCTAAATACTGACTCTCCTATGACAGATGTTCCTAGAAAGGAACTCAGCATCCGTGGAAGATGTGTGAAGTCAGGGATGTGCAAGTCCCACCTTGATCCCTGCGCTCCGGCACTTGGTGACAGCATCAGGTACTGTGGACCGAGGCGGGTCAATCATTGACAAGAGGCCCACAAAGCAGAAGTTGGAAGTAGGGAAGTTCATTGTTTCTACATCAAATGAATACGTTTCTGGAAACTCGTCTGTCGGCAGGTAGAGGTGACAGAAACCTGAAATGGGTATGAATTTAGGAGTTGGTGAAACTAGGATTAAAAAAATGATGAAAGAAAGAGGGAACATTTTCATACACTTCAGTCCTTTGTGTTTTACCAGTTTAAGAGAACTGATGTCAGTAAATCTGGCAGCTCAGATGGTAAAGAATCTGTCTGCAATGTGGGAGACCTGGGTTCGATTCCTGGGTTGGGAAGATCCCCTGGAGAAGGGAATGGCCACCCACTCCAGTATTTTTGCCTACAGAATCCCATGGACAGAGGAGCCTGGCGGGCTACAGTCCACGGTGTTGGAAAGAGTCGGACATGACTGAGCGACTAACACACTTTAGAGTTTACCATAATTGTTCAGTTCCTTCAGTCCATGACATGTTGTCTTAGGAAAGATATGTTTCATCCCCAAATCATTTACTCTGTGCCCATTAGGTATGCTCTGGAGACAGAAAGCCCGGGAGTGGACAGTCTGTACTTCTGAGGAGATTGCAGTTTACAGGAGGTGTGGGGGTAGAAGCAGAGACATAGAGATGAAGAACGGGGAGCTGTGCCCAGAGGGTCCCCTCCATCCATTCCCACATTTGTCTCATGCTGTTCCCTCTGTATGAGTATGCTCCCCCCACAACCCTTCACATCTATCACTCAAGGTCCAGACTGAAATGTAACTCCTCCCATAAAATCTTTCCAGACTTCTGGTCTGCAAGGGCCCCCACCCTCCTACCCCATCACACAGCATCTCCTGCATGCTGATCACATTCTCCTTTAGGAGATGAGTGGATGCCAGGGCTACCCCGCTGCACCCCAAGCCTGCCTCCTTGTGCCTGCCAGCAGGATCCCCCTCTCTCACCCAGCACGCGCTCCCCTATGCCGCCCAGCTCCATGTAGGCTGTGTGGAAGGCCTCGGCCGTGCTCCTGTCCAGGGGCTGCTCCTGCCCGTTGACCATGATGGTGCTGCACTTCTCCAAGATCCGTTCGGGGGCCCCTTTCATCACCATGAGGAAGCGCTTGTCATCTGGGTCCTCGGTCTCGTGGATGGAGAGCTGCAGGGGAGGGGTCGCGCATCCTCAGTGCGGCATCGCGGGTAAGGACACCGTCCCTACTACAAAGGGCCTGAACTGGATGGACAGAGCTTTTCATGAGCAAAACATCTCTTTCTCTGTGGTTTCTGTTTCTATTCTCCGTGATATATAAAGGAAGAGTGTTCTCCGCAGGCATGTTCTGTCCTTTCTACTTCATGCCCAAGTAATATGCAGAGACTGAGGGACTTCATGGCAGTCCGGTGGCTAATACTCCGAGCTCCCAATGCAGGGGGCCTGGGTTCCATCCCTGGTCAGGGAACTAGATCCCTCAGGCCACAACTCAAAGAGCTCACTTGCCAGAGCTATTTTGTTTCTTCAAGTTGAGTGATGCCCCCAGAGACCTTCCAAGGCCTCCTCCTAAACCACCTTGCTAAGTGCCAAGTGCTGTGCAGGCGTGTGGATATAAGGTGACTCTAAAGCATCTCAGAGCTCCCTGGCCTCTTCTGTAGGACCCACTCCTTTATAGCAACTCCAGGGAGCCCACTTTCTCCATCAACACTCTGTACAGGAGGCCTCACAGAAGCTCCTCTTCCTCTCCCTGGAGAAGACGGAGCCCCAGCAGGATTCTTGTCTGTGGTTGGAAGGCCACCCGCCTAGGCTGAGCACACCCCCCGGGTCTGCCCAAGTCCTGGCTCTGGCCCTTGCTGGCTGTGTCCTCTGTTTCCTCGTTCTTGACTACCTAATAGAGTTGTGATGAGTGTGGAAATCAGCACATGATAGCCATGATTACTACTGTTATTTTAGGATTGCTAGTCATTCTATTTTCACTTATGTTTTGAACAGAGATCTGAATTCCTCTACATTTTACATCATACATTTTGTAAGTTGTCTGCTTTGCTAACCATGACTCTTTACTGGTCAATTATCCACCAAGATGTTTGCTCCACAGTTATTTTCCAGTCCTAAATTCCTTCCAAACAAAATGTGTGCGTAATCACTAGAAACTTGCACACAAACATGGTCATCCTACTTACATAATTTAATGTTATGCAAAGACTAAGTCCTAGAGAAGGAAATGGCAACCCAACCCAGTATTCTTGCCTGTGAAATCCCATGGAGAGAGGAGCCTGGTGGGCATGGTCCGAAGAGTTGGACACAACTGAGTGACTAAACAACAACAACAAAAGACCAGGTCACAACACCCCACTCTTGCTTTGGAGTCTCCAGAGAACTCCACCTGTAGCAGCACTTTGTCCTCTGTCCTGACCTGAGTAGGGTGGACATGGCTGCCTGCTGGCTACGCTGGTGGGAGGGGAGACACCCAGGCAAAGGTGGCCAGTCTCCCCCTGAGCAACAAAGGGTGGAGACTCCTGTGCACTGCTGGCAGGGCAGACATGGAAAGCAATGCTTTGGGTCCTCACTGGTCCTCACGAAGGGCAAGGTTCACCCAAATGGTCTGAACTGACCACCTGGCCTCTGTGTTGCAGTAGAAAAAGCATAGACTCAGGCATCAGACAGACACGTGGAGACTTAGATGCTCGGGTGGCTCTGGCCACCTCAACACTTTCTAAGGCCCATTTCCTTGCTTGCAGTTGGGACTTCACCTGGTCCTACCTTCAAGGCTTATGGTGAGGATTACATGAGACCAAGCACAGAGAATGCCTGATACAGATGGGGCAGCTGGCTTCTCCTCACTGCCCCCCACACTCAGCCTGTCATGTTGGGGGGTGTGGCTCCTGCCCCTCCCTGTGCCCAAGTCACCAGGGCGGGCAGTGGTGCGTCTGTGTGCATGTTATACAGAAAGGCCACGTGTGGGAATTGCAGGCTCCATCGAAAGCTTCATCTTTTCTCTCCTCTACTTGTTCTGTGTTAACCAGATGTCCAGGCTCTGCATCTCTGAGGACTGTTCTTAAAGTCAAGTGTCATTCAAAACACATACTGACTAAAGGATACCTATGAGTGGAAATGCTGCTCTAGTGACGATAAAGATTCAGTTGGTACTAAAGCCCATGAGCCCTAGAGCCTGTACTCCACAACAAGAGAAGTCACTGTAATGAGAAGCCTGCACACTGCAACAAAGTCCCAGCACAGTCAAATATAATAAAAAACCAAAAGATTCAGTTGTGAGGGGAAAGTCACCTGAAATTTGTTGGTCGAGTTAAAAGGGATTTCAGCTACTTTGCGGTTTCTTTTTCTAATATCCATCACGTTACCCAGCATGACCTCTGAGAACTTCAAAAGAGCAGTTTCTGAGGCATCTCCAACCACAATTTTCTGTGAATCAAAAGATATAAGTAGTTGCAGCACATAATCAGGTTCTTCTGTGGTTATTTTCAACCAACCAGTGTGCAACCTAAGCTTACTAAGTACCAGAGGAAGAGAACAGTTATCCCATAAGTGACAGATTTACTACTGTTAGTGTTAATCGTGTATGACTCGGGACTGTAGCCCGCCAGGCTCCTCTGTCTATGGGATTCTCCAGGCAAGAATACTGGAGCGGGTTGCAATACAGGAGACCCAGGTTTGATCCCTGGATTGGGAAAATCCCCTGGGCAAGACTACTGGAGTGGGTTGTCATTTCTTTCTCCAGGGGATTTTCCAGACCCAGGGATCAAACCTGGGTCTCCTGTATTGCAACCCACTCCAGTATTCTTGCCTGGAGAATCTCATGGACAGAGGAGCCTGGCAGGCTACAGTCCAGGGGGTCGCAAAAGGTTCAGACACGACTAACACCTACAACTGTCAACTGCAGGGCGCCACCTGCTGGCGATAGGGGAGTTCAGACAAGTTAGAGCCCTGAGAGTGGGAGTTTTCCTGGAAAAAAAGCAATGAACTTGATCTTGGAGGGGGACAGGGGTTGTTCCCTGGAACTTTGATTGTATCTTCTTAGCTGGTAAAGAATTTAGGACAGTAACTTAAAGGCACAATCATTTTCAAGAAAGAGACTTTTCAGAAGACCTAAATGAGTATTTTGAGAACTTTTAAATTTCTTGAAGTTAGTGACAGTGAAAAAGCTTCCTACAGGTCTTGTGGTTAGATTCGCTCTCACAGAACAAATGCTATTCAGTTGCAGAGATTAAATCAAGCACCAGATTAGAACAGAGAAGGTGACTTCGCTCTGCAAAGTGGCTGCGGCTGAGACTGTGTGTGGGGCTTCACCTTCATGATAGGGACGCTCTCCTGTCCAGGTCTGAACTCAGCGCGGTTACACAGCGTTATGATCTTTGACAGGGAGGCCCAGGTCGCAGAGCTTTGATCAAAGACTTGATCTGGAAAGAAGAACCATGGATGCTGAGGGTGCCGGGCTTGTGCCAACGAGCAGCACTGTTCACCCACGGCCACAGACCAGCTGTGCTGAGCCCACCATGCAGGGCCAGGCTGGATGCACCCCAAGGCTTACTCGAATGGTTTTCACTTGTGTCCGCCACGAAGATCTGGTGGTCGAACCACAGATGGGCCACCGTCATCCTATTCTGGGTCAGGGTCCCGGTCTTGTCTGAGCAGATGATGGAGGTAGAGCCAAGGGTCTCCACTGCCTCCAGGTTCTTCACAAGGCAGTTCTTCTTGGCCATTCGTTTTGCTGTCAGTGACAGAGTCACCTAGACAGAGGAGAGAGAGAGAAGCTTTGAGAAAAACCACCGTGTTGAACTTGGGTTCAGTAATGTAGGAACAGTTAGAGTTAAACTAGTTTCAGGTATAGTTATAGATGCAGTAAAACTGCACCATATCCAGTGGCTGAGAAGGCATATAAAGCTTGCACGCGCTCTCTCTCTCTCTCATGTCCCTTTACTCCTTGAGGAAAATGATCCTAAGGGATCCACAGGTAGCAAAGTTGGGCAAGTGTCAAGTCAATACAAAGGGGGTTTGGCTGCTGAACGTGGTTCACAGGCAAGAGCATTGTAAGACAGGTTTCAGGCACTATGTGGCAAAGAGCTTGCCCCAAACGGCTTACTAGTTGCTTTGGGGAATCAAGAAATACTTGTTTCACTTTAAGATCTTCAAATGTTAATAAAGATTCTTGGCTCTCTCTGAAGCCCCCAGATCTCAAAAGTGTTCTTTAGGCTCCAGCTTGGTCAAATTACTGTCTGCTGGAGTCAGAGGAGACAGGCAATCAAACACTTCTGTCTGTCTTTGCTCAGGACGGTGCCAGGAGCGGAGGTATGAATCCTCCCTACCTGGGGGCCTTGTTTCCGGATGAGTTAGGTCCTGACACAGGGAGAACCAAAGTTAGACCAGGGGGCAGAGTGGAAAGGGCTGAACTACTCTGCAGGATCAGACAGGGAGTTTGTGTCTCAGACTGCCTTTGAGATGGAGAAGTGAAATGAAAGTGTACCTATTATCCCTCAGCTGTAAAAACTGTAGAAGTTTTTTTTTTTTTCTTTTTTCTTTTAAAAACTGTGGAAATGCAGGGAAGGTGTCAGGCTTCTAGAAAATTTCTAAGTGGTGGCTCAAGACTGTCTTATCTAGATCTTAAGGGGCAAAGCATCATATGGGATTTGCAGATAGATCTCTGAAAATGAAAACACAAGTTTTCAAGGACAATTCATTCAAATAGTGACAGATGACAGTTCTCTTTGTCCCTCTAAGAGACAGAACATCCTATGACTGGCCCTGATGGAGCAGACTCAGCCGCGGCAGAGCAGGATGGCACACTAGCAGCACAGACTCACAGTGACAGTGGCCAGGAGACCCTCAGGCACATTGGCCACAATGATGCCAATGAGGAAGATGATGGAGTCCAGGACATAATACTTCATGGACACTGCGATGATGAAGAAAATGATGCCGATGGAGACCGCCACTCCCGCCACGATATGAACAAAGTGCTCGATCTCGATGGCAATGGGTGTCTTCGAGTCCTCGACTCTTGAAGCCAGTGAGGCAATCTGCCCAATGATGGTGCGGTCACCCGTGTTGATGACCATGGCAGTCGCTGTGCCTACAGGTGGAGCAGACATTTTATTCCAGGAGTCCTCAGCGAGGAGGGACCATGGCTTTACACGCTCCTTTCTTTGGTGGCTCACATGGCCAATCAGCACATGACACTACAGAGGCCAAATACCAGCTCTCTAGGCTCTTCAATTCTACATTTTCTCTTGGAAAAGCTTAGCATCAAGAGATGGTAGAGAGAGAGAAACATAAAGCTTGACAAAGGAGAAAGGCTATGAGAGGAACCTGCAGTCCTGCAAGCTACCAGACCAACCTTCCAGACAGGTTGTGGAGAAGAAGGCGATGTTCTTGGTCTCCAGGGGACTTTCATGTGTGAACTCACAGGAGCGGGCCTGGGGCTCTGACTCCCCAGTGACAGATGAGTTGTCTACCTAGAAGGAGTTTTGAAAAGAGTTCAAGGTCACACAACTTCTTTAGTTACACTGAGACCTGGAAAGACCACAGCACCAAGAGCGTGACCCTCAGGGCACCCATGACACTGACCTTACACCCCTGAGTGGACAGTAACCTGACATCCGCAGGGACCTGGTCTCCACCTTTAATCTCCACTATGTCTCCCACCACCAGCTGGTCAGCAGGAATTGTCTTCTTCTCTGAGTCTCGAATGACAAGCGCTTGCTGCAGAAGAAAATCATGACCCTGGCCTCAGATCCCATCCTGGAATGATGCTGGCCCTCCTGCATGCCCCTTGTCCCCCACAGGCTCAGGAAGGAAGGCATTGGAGTGTATGCCTGTCAGAATAGCAGACAATGAAGCCAAGGCTTCTACTCAGGTCCTGAAGACCCTAAGAACTATTTTTCTTGAGTTGGAGCTCATGGAGATAGACTTCAACCTAGAAAATGCTGCCATGAGAGGTACAGCAAAGCCACAGCTCTGGGCCTGACAGACAGGGGGACCATTAGGATGAACTATCCTGCTGGGAAGTCCAGGAAGAGTCCTGAGGTTGAGCCAAAGGGATCAATGATCTCGCTCAGGTCAGAAAGCCTTTAATGGAGTGAGAGATGGGTCTCTGCTTCCTAACACAAGAGATTCCACCCAGAGACCACACCTCCCAGCAGCTCTGCAGCCCAGTGAGGGTATGGTTCTGTGTGCTGACAGTGGTGTCCCCAGAAGACCCCTCCCAGGTTGCTGCAGGAGGAGGGATCTGAGGCCTCCCACACTGGCAGCATTCGGGGGCAACATGCAGCGAGGCTCAGAAATGGGAGTGAAAAGACTGATGGTTTAAAGAATCACAGGTTGGCCCCCTTTGCTCATGTTGGAACCACCTGAATGACTTCTGTCTGAGTGGTTCACCAAGCTGAGGAGCAGCCACAGGAGCTGTCAGGCAGTGGCTCGTGTTTCTGTCCCATTCTGCTCTTGACTGAGCAGTTTCTTCCACCTTGCTTCACTGACCACACCCAGGAGGGGACAGGGGCTCCAGAGAGATTAGGCCAGTTGCCCAAGACTCCGAAGACAGCAGGGAGGGGTCCCAGGCCTCCAAGCCCCGCCCCCCATCTGATGCTCGCTTGTCTCAAGCCTGGAGACACCAGGGAGGCTGTCACACTTGCCTGCGGGATCATCTTTTGGAAACTGGACATGATGTTGGTGCTCTTCGCCTCTTGGTAATAAGCAAAGACCCCGGTTAGAATGACGACCAGGGCAAGCACAGAGCCCAAGTACACCTGGGAGAGGAGGACAGGCACCAGTCAGAGAAGCGGCATCAGGAATGAGACTGACCTGAGGGCCAGGGTGCTCCATGGGCCAATCAGAGAGATGGCAGTTGTGTCCTGATGTAACTTGCAGGCCACACAATTCACCCGTTTGAAGGTTATAACTAAATGACTATTAATAATTAACACAGTTGTATAACAATCACCACAATCCATCATTCCAGTAAGACCCCTTGTGCCCACGGCAGTTACTCTCCCACCCTGGCCCAGCCCGGGCAGCCACTGATCGGCTGTCTGAATCCAGGGCTGGCCTGTTCTGGACATTTCACACCAATGGAATTGCACAGAATATGGCCTTTTGCACCTGGCTTCTCTCTCAGCATCACGTTGGCTGCTCTAGTTCTGTGGTTTGAAAGTAAAAGTTGCTCAGTTGTGTCCAGCTGTTTGCGACCCCATGGATTATACAGTCCATGGAATTCTCCAGGCCAGAATACTGCAGTGGGTAGTCTTTCCCTTCTCCAGAGGATCTTCCCAACCCAGGGATTGAACCCAGGTCTCCTGCATTGCAGGCGGATTCTTTACTAGCTGAGCCACAAGGGGAGCCCAGCTTTGTGGCCCCTAGCTTTGTGGTTTGGTCCTACCTTATTAGACACAGAAGTTCTCCACGGTAAAGGGAGAAAATTAGCTTTGAGGAGACAGAGCCCAAAACACCTCACATGGATGTCGAATTTTTTTTCCCCACATAGGAACTAATCATGTATTGCTCTCTTATAAATTGATGCTCACACTGCTCTGAGACACTAGAGAGTCAGATATACTTTCTATTTTATACCTGGAGAAGTTATTGATTTTCTCTGACTCATGCAGTGATTGGTCAGTGGTAGACCCCTGACCCCAGCCCAATGCTCTGCCCAGGGAAGGCCTTGGATTATAGTGCAGCCTACCCACCCCCCAGCCCCCGCCATCACCAGGAGCAAACCCGGGAGGAGCCCCCAGCGCCATACGTTGTCCAGGGAGGAGGACTGATCATGGGAATACTGAATCCCATACGCGATCCAGCACAGGACGGCTCCTATCCACAGGAGGATGGAGAAGCCCCCCACCATCTGCTTGAGGAACTTGATGATCTCTGGGGTTTCCTTGGGGGGCGTGAGGCTGTTGGGCCCATGCTGAGCCAGCAGTTCAGCAGCCCGGGCACTGGAAAGACCCTGAGAAAGCAGAGGGAAACGAAACAGGAGTTAGACGTTTCTACCTCCTCGGGCTGGATGTCACATTTCTGCAGACTGTGGGCAGCTGTGACTATGTGGGACAGGGTGGATGCCCTGACACCTTCCCGCCGTGTGCCTCCCTTGCCCCTGCGTCCTCTGAGCCCAGGCTCTGCTGCTCCTCTTTGCCTCCCTCTCTGTAGGCCAGTGAGTCACACAGCACATATTTCTGTTCACTCGGAACAGATGTATCCAAATGTCCTGGTGTTAAGACACCACATCTTTGAGTTTGAATTCACAGAATGAAGCAGCACTTCTGCGATGGGAGATTTTAGGAGTCACGAGGTATCCCCCCTTCTTGGAGGAGGCCTGGACATGACCTGAATACTTCCTGGGCACAGGGTTTGAAAGCAACCATGGACCATGACAGCGAGGAGGCACTCAAACCTTCCAGGGGTCACCACGGCTCAGCTGCAATCACAGTCAAAGAACTGTCTGTGACCAGATACACAGCCCAGCAGCGGGCCTTGCCAGGCCTGCGGCTCAGGCATGCTACTCTTGAGGTTATGAGCCTCCTCTCACAAGGTGGGCATGTGGGGGGCTGGCAGGTCACTCACAACTTCTAAGCACACAGCCTCTCTCTTTGTATGGTCCCCAATCCCCTCCCCTGTCACTGGTTCTCTGATGACTTACCGTAATGATGTTTGTACCATATTTTCTCTCCAGTTCCTCTTTGCTGAGTTTGTGGTCATCCTAAAGTCCATGAAAATAACAGAGTGAATTAGATAATTCCAAAAGACTTGAACCCTAAGCCCTGACAAGCCCATGAAATCTGGGAGAAACACTGAGGATGGGAGAGGGGCCAGAAAGTGTAGAAAGAAGGAACCTTTGTCCCAGGGGTTCCTGCAGTGAGAGAAGAGAACCTCACTGCAAGAGAGCTCACTGGCCAGCAGATTTTCTGGCCATCCCCGGAGAGTTCAGACTTAACTTGCCATTTACCACATGGTAGCCGTCCTTAGTTTTTATGAGTAAAGCAATGCATTTCACCTCAGTCTGGTCTCTAGCACATGCAGATCCTAGCACACCTGGCATCCAGACACCAGTGATCTGGAAACTCAACTCAGACCTGAACTGAGGGATTAATGGGGAGCCCATCAACAGTGCCAAACCATTCCATGTGTCCTGACAGCTCCACACAGCCAGGCAGGCCATCTGGGAGAGAGAAATGGGCCTTTCCTTCCTTCAGCACTTGAGGCTCAGCTTGCTATCAGACAAGCCCTCAGATTAAAAACCTGCCAAATAAATTATTGGGGGGGGGGGACACACTTGCTAACTCTGCCACAGAATCATTAAACTAATGCAGAGCTTCTCAACCTTAGCATTATTGACATTTTGGGTCAATAACTCTGTTGTGGGGACTTCTGCCCACCAGCACCCTCCCTTTGAGGATCAATAATCATAAATATCTCTGGACATTTGCTGTGGCACCCAGGGAGCAAAGTTCCCCTGTCCTGTCCTGTCCCTTTCAGAATCTCTGGGCTAAAGGACTAGAAATCTCTTCCTGTGGCAAAAAAACCCAGCACTCAGGATCCTAAAACTCTGACTGTCAGAGACAAAAATTTATACTGTGACTGGTACCAGAACTGTCTCTTTTCTTAAAAAGAAAAATGTTTCATGTTACAGAGAGTTAGGGTTTTGGCCTGTGCTTAATCAGATTGGCCCTGTTCTTCCATTCACCGTACCAGTACCCACTGAATATGACATTTCTGGGGAGCCATAGGAGTAAGACATGGTTTTCTGCATAGTACGCCAAGTTTGGGGCAGAGAAGAGTTAACATGATTAAAGTCGTTGCTTTCATGGATGGATCTCAGACTCTAAGGGGAGTCTGCACCATCCTCCCTACTAGCCTGACTCTCTGGGGATGAGAGTTGGGAGGGTGCGGGTGTGAACTCTGCTGGAAGAGCACAGGGCAGCACCAGGTGCCTCAGGCTTGAGTCACCTGCTTGTTTCTTCAGAAGCCAGGGACACTGCATTACTCATCAAGGTTCTAATTTTCTGGAGGGGTTGGGATGCAAGGGCACCCAAGTACAAAGTCACAAATTACAGGATTCCTGTAAGAAGGTTGCGAAAAAGGGGAAAGAAAGCTGTTTCTCAGCAAAGAAGCAAAGGAATACCCCAGTCAACACCATGGAATTATTTTTCTATATTTTCAGAAAAGGCTCAAATTTCAAGGAAGTTTCTCATTGTAATTAATAGGCATATGATAGAATGGATATATATTCATGTTATAAATATTAATTTCAAGTAAGACTAGTTATATCTTCATCCCTAACTGCTAGATACCTATAGGAAATAAGAATGACTACCTTAACCTTTCTCCAGTTTCTCTGTAATCCTCTTAACAACTCTAAGAGGTAGGTACCATTTTTAATTCCAATTTTTCAAAACAGGAAACTGAACTTCAGGGAAACAGACTTGAATTCAGATCCAATTCCAGGGTCATCAGAACATACATGGACAAACACCTTGTGTCATGTATTGTTTAATGAGCTCTCCAGGTAAAATAAAAGAGCTCTGATTTGCAGCAGTCACATCTCAAGCTACTAATACAGTTACCAATTGGCTTGCTTGAATTCCGGAATGTTTAACAACCTGCTCTGTGGCATACAAGAGCTCACAGCACTACCAGCTGCTCAGAGAACCATAGCTCTGAAGTCTGCAGTGAAGTGCAGGACAACCCGGCATAATCTCAGACGCAGGGCAGGTTTCCATTGGCATTCCTGAGATGTAATCAGCCACATTTCAGTTCTTTCCCAGGGCGGCCAGCTTTAGTAGTAACAGGGCTTCACATCCACAAAGCACTGCCATTACAAGAGACTCTCACCTCACTTTCCCCCTGACAGACCCACAAAAATGGTTTGTTTCCCGTTTTACATAAAGAAAACTGAGCTTCAGAGAAGCTAGGTAGCTTACTCCCCAGAGAACTGGAACCTCAGCTGAGCGTAAGGCTGCCTGAAACCAAGACCAACTCTTACTTACTACTGAAATCCTTTCTCATGGGGCAAATATACCCAGAAACCTAGCAAGTTTAGGGGCTTTCAGTTTTCTTCCTGGGTGGTTCTGGCTGATGAGATAGTTTAATTTCATAGGCTACTAATATCTCAATGAAGCAGCAGGGAAGAGAGAGGTCTGGGCAGTGCCTGTGGCAACTGGCCTCAGAGGAGCCCTCCATGGGCGTGCCTACAGCCCGAATGCAGGAATCTTTAGAGGGCCTGACCCCTGGGCAGATACAATCACACCATTTTTTTTTTTCTTAAAACAAGGAAACACACATCAGGGATTTTGAAATTCTTAAGACTGAATTTTTCTTTTGTAAGAAGTGGGTTATAGGGGCAAGCTGTCACCAGGGCGGACAGTGCTCAAGGGCACCCATTTGCTCAGGGACCAAATCAACTGACCAGATCAAGTTCTTTCTTAAGCTCCTCTTTCTGGTGGTTCTTTTTGCGTTCCAAGCAGTTGTTTTTCAGGCCCCTGGACTTCTCCTTGCCATCCTCCTTGTCTGTTTTCTCAATGTCTTTGTATCCACTGAGCTCCACTGAGTAAACTTCTCTTTTCTGAAAGAGAAGCAGAGGTACCATGTTGGCCCGAGGTAGATGGGTTTTCTGAGGCGAAGCAGGGGGCCTCATGGTGGGTGGAACTTACAGGAAGGGGCCCTCCCCCAGCCCCCATTCCCGGTCCCTCCTCCTGGGAGTTCTCTACAGCTCCTGCTAATAGGACCTGCAGCGCCCTCTCTCTGCTCTCCTCTCCTGTGAAGGGCTGGCTGGCTGGGCTCCTCAGGGGACCCCTCCCTGGGCGAGGAAGTTCTTTTCCTCGACTCAGACAAGATCTCTCCGAGGAGTGGCAGGGTCTAGCTAAGTGCCTGGACCCCACGGGACACCAGCGCGCCCCATGTCTGGGTGGGGGCGCCAGGTCCCCACGAGACACTCCAGCGCGCCCTGTGTCTCGGTGGGCACGCCTGGTCCCCATGGGATGCTCCAGCGCGCCCCGTGTCTGAGTGGGGGCGCCTGGTACCCGAAAGACACTCCAGCGTGCCCGGTGTCTCGGAGGGGGCGCCTGATCCCCGATGGACACTCCAGCGTGCCCCGTGTCTCGGTGGACACGCCTGGTCCCCGAGGGGCACTCCAGCGAGCCCGGAGGGTGTACCCACTGAACTCCTGAACCGCGAGGGCAGGACGGCGTCAGGACCACAGAGCATCCTTGCCGTCACCAGCCCCGCGCCGCCCTCCTCCGGCTCCGCGGCCACTTCCCGTGTTTGGGTCAGCATCCTTCTTCACCCCACAAGCTGGAGTTCCATGGCCTCCTGACCCGGAGCGGAGAGAACGGAGCAGAGCCCGGCCGCCCCTCCTCCCGCCCCGGCGGCACGCACCCTGTACATGGCGCGGGCGGGGGGTCCCGTCGGGAGGCGGGCCGGGCACGTGGCGGGGGTCCAGTCGAGCGAGGACCGGGGTGCCGGGTCGCGTTGGGCTGGCTGCGGGGTCCTCGCTCCTGCAGGTGCGAAGCGCCAGCGCAGCCCTGCAGGCGGCGCGGCCTTAAAAGCGCGGCCCCGCCCCCGCCTGCGCGCCCCTCCCCTAGCCCCGCCCCCAGCCGCCCCGCCCCCCGTCCGCGGGCAGAGCGCCGGGTGGGCATGGGGTCCAGTGGGCAGTGCGGTCCGGCTGCCCGGACCTGTCGCGCGGAATGCTCTGGGGAAAACCACCGCCCGCCTTTCCCCTTGAGACTTGTCAGATTGTGAAAAGTCCTAAGCGGGCTGGGGGAGGGGGAATTGTAGCTCCCCGCATTGGTCATTCTCTGGGTGTCCTGGCATCGAAAGGCCCTGGACGACCCAAGAGCGGACTTCGATGGGCGCCGTGGGGTCAGAGCGAAGTGGGGAGTAAACGAGAGCCCCTCGACCCCCAAAAGTAGCCCAGTTACTTGCAGGATCCAGATGCGGATGAAGGGGTATGAGGCCCCAGGGTTGAACAAGGTGCCTGAGGGACACGCTGGGCCTGGGATCAGCACCCACCCTCCACCGATGGGGGTGAAGACCTCTCCTTCCCGAAAGAGGGCTGCCCACAGCCTCTGTCATTTCTCCCTCCCCGCTTCCCTTCCCTCCCTTCCCTTCTTCTTTTCTTTCCAAAAAGGCAGAGTTGGAACTCAGTCTCCACTGGGGCAACGGCAATGAGTCATAACTAAGTCCTCAGGGACAGGAAGACTCCGGCGACATCTAGTTACAGATACATATCACAGGTTCCTTAGCGTCCCACCTCCAGGAACTGCATGCTTCTGTGGAGTCTGTGTGAGGAGACACAGACTTAGTATGAAACTTGCTTCCACTCTGCCAGAAAGCGAAGAGGAGGGGTCTGCAGGCGCAGAGTGGCTGCAGCTGCTCTGTGCTTCTGGAGCCCTGGAGTAGAGAATCAGGACACCCAGAGAGAGGCCCCTGGGCTCAAGCCTGGAGTTCAAGTTTCAGGAGCAAGCCTGATTCACACTGACCCGCTTAGGGGGTCAGGAGAGAAGGAGGTGGGGAGAGGGGGTGCCGCGGTTAAAAATGAGTAAGTTGGAGCAAACCCCTCTGAGAAGATGGCTGTTAGTCTTGCCAGTGTCACGTTTGGAAGATTCTCAGTTGCCACCAACTGGATGGCAGAGAACACTGTCCTGCACAGATCCAGCTACTGCTGTTCTGCCCCCGTGGCAGCCTCTGATGCCTGGGTGTGACCTCCGCAACTCCCCACACGCCCACCCTAACATCCTAACTCCTGCTCCATGTCCCTCTGCTCCTGGAGGAGAGTGGCCTCCAGGCCCATGTGATGCAGGCAGCAGTCCTCACCTGCTAGAGACACAGACTCACCACTCTCAGGTCCCAGGGGCTATCAACCTTGACCTCTACCCAGTTCTGTTGAGCTCTCTTGAGCTGGCTGGAAAGATCAAGGTCCAAACTGGGACACATTCTCAGCCCTGGACTGCAGTAGCAGCTTCTAGTGAAGCGGCAGTCTCCAGTCCTTGAAAAGAAGCCCATACACGTTGGGTCTCCTCCTGGACTGATCTGAGTGGCAGATATTACATACTGGGACATGCTATTATGATACATGTAACTATTCCTGGCTCATTTTAGTCCATTAATACACAACATATTTGAGACTGCACTAGACATAGGGGAAAAAAGGTACTAAAATTATGTTATTCTCTGCCCTGGGGGAAGTTAAACCTGAGTTGAAGAGGCAAAATTAACAAAGTGTAAATAATTGTAAATGAGCCAAGACAGAATTTAGCACTAAAGGATCTAAGTTCTACGTGCTTCAGGATTTTGAAGATGGAGATTTTATTACTTTGAGTTAGTTTTCCAGTTTCTTCTCTCCCTTAGCAACCTCCACGGAAGGTGGGAGAGAAGCAGGTGGGTCTGTGTGTGTTGGTTACTCCTCCTGGTCCCTGAGAGGCCCCTCCTGCTGCAGTCGGGGGAGAGGACATTGCCTAAGAGGCGGTTCCCTTCTGGCCTCATGCCCGCCGCCCTCTCCCGCGGAGCAGCAGCTCCACACACCTGCCCATCCTGCAAGCTTGTGACTGGGCAGCGTTTCCCCACCCACGAGGGCTGCCTGGAGTCAGAATGTAAAAACAAAAAACAAACAGAACTTCAGTCAGGCCTGCTTTGGCACGGTTTCCTCATTTCTTCATTTTTATGGGTGCATGAACATCCTGCAGGAAGGAAACTGGCTTCCAGAAGTCAGCACCTGTGATGTGGTAATGGCCCTACCTGTGGTGCCCAGGGCCAGGTGGGCACGGGAGCCCCGGCAGAGGGTGCGGGGCTCAGGTGGCTGCGGAAGCCATACTCTCCTTTCTCCTCCTGGGTATGCTCCCCTAGATGTGAGAGCACTATGGCCTTTGTACTGTGACTAATTCTGGATAGTAAGATCCTTTTTCAGAAAATCACCATTTTCCTTTTAATAAGTGGTTGGAAAATATTAATTTCATTTCTGAAGTCTTTGATTTTTGTATTTTAATTTTAGGGGGAACACAAGGTTTTGCCGCTTGAGTCTTCATCTTTGTCATGGAAATTATATACACATGTATAATGTATTACACATAATATGTAGGACATGAAGGATGTCATTTATACAAATATGCTGGGTTAACTTTGCTGGAATTTGCCTCTTCTGATGAGTGAAGTGATGCTCTGTTGGCCGCTAGCTCCCACATTCTTCAGAGTTAGGGAGCTGAATGCGGACACTCAGTATTTATTCCTGAAATACTTACTGGAGGTTTGTACTATGTATATCAGCATCACACCAAGCCCTTCCTCTGAAACAGCTTTCCACCTGGTGGAAGATACAGCAGCCCAGGTAAGAATATCCACAGCAGACAGTCAAAGGCTAACGAGGACCAGCACTGAGTCGATGGGCAGAAGTCACTTCCAGAATAGCCGAGGAAGGCGTGAACGGTGTGATGGGATGACAGGTGCTTCCTGAAGTGAGTTCAGTGTAAGTGCCCTGTCAAGGCTGGGTCACCTGACCTGAGTGGGGGCAGGGTTTCCAGGGGGAGCATATCGTTTCAGGGAGTTGCAGGGGGGCGGGTTGTCAGGGTGGGCTCCATCCTCAAGCCTTGGAGACCTTGATGGTGAGAGATTCTGCAGCAAAAGTGGAGGGCCCTCTGCCCAGAGCGGGGCCAGGCTTGCAGGCTTCGATGTACGCTCCCATCAGCCTCCTGACAAGGAGGCACCTGAGCCAGTCTAAGCCCCAAGCAGCTGTTCATTTCGGTACAATTTATTTGTTCTATCTCAAGTCTTTGAAATGAAACAAGAGAAGGAAGAGTAGATGATGGTGATCTCATCTAAGTTAAAGAAGTTTCTAGGGTCTCCCTTCTGGGTGCCCCCAACGAATATACATTTATCCTGTGTTTCCAGGCTAAACTGAGCTGTTCCCAGAGCTGTAGGGGAGGGGAGCCATGGAATTAATATTGTAAGAGATGTGGTCCATCGCACCCACAATGATCAACTTGGATCTCATAATGTGATGAGGGGATGTCATCCTTTACAAAGACCTAAGTTAATTAAAAAAGAGTGTGACCTTTTCTTAGTGATGTTAAGAGAACTGTTTTCATCTCCCCCCAGTTTTCCTCCCTGATCTGTCCCTGTGAGATGCCAGGTCTTGGGATGAGAAGAACAACCTCGTCCTTATGGAGTCACTGTCCCTATAAATCAGGCACAGAGAACAGCTGCTTTGTTATCTTGGTGTCTCTTGTTCTCTTTGATGTATTTTAAATACTTGTCTGTGATAACCCAGTGTCTTAAGTCAGCATGAGGTAAGCTGGTGTAACTCTATAAACCTATCTATCCTGAGATCAGCACTTCAAAATTCCAAAAATTTACTCTAGAAGCAAATGGGGGTGGGGGGAGAGAAAGAAGGAACACAGCTCGCATCCCTAGTTTCATTCACAACAGGGCCCAACTTAACTCTTGAGGATCCAGAAGGGTGCACAGGAGTGGGCCATCTACAACACAGTGCAGAGTTCACTGTGATGCCAGACACTGGATGTTCTGTACACAAGCCCGAGGGAAGAAAAGCAAGTAAAGAGGCTAAGAAACTGC